CCCCCCCAGCCCCCATTCCAAACCTGGGAACTGGTTTGACCACACTCCATTATAAACACCCTCCCCAAACTAAGGTCTCAATACGAATGAATTCCTGTCTCTTGCTTAGCTTACTTGGCACAAATTACACATAGCAGTTTCTTGATTTAAATGCAAATCTCAAAAAGCTGATAGCTGATGGGCCAGGCAAAGAACTATGCTCTACAATTTTTTGATACTAAAGCTGACTGAGTGAAGCTCCTGACTACAATGTGGACAGGAAGATGGCAGAAGGTGGGGCACACCCCACTCCTCTCTCCAGACATGCTCATCCTCCTGTCCCCATAGCCACATGAGAGAGCTGTATGCAGGAACCTCCCCCATCTTGCTCGATCTCTCAGCAGTCTTCAACATAATTGACAACTTCTTCCTTAAAAGACCTCTCTTGGCTTCTGTGATGCCACCCCTGCTGGTTTTTCTCCTGCATTGCTAGACACCCTTCAGTCTCTGTTCCTGGTCTCTCATCTTAGCCCTGACCTCCTCACGTTGGAGTACCCTGGGTCTCAGATGCAGCCCTCCATTCTGGCCACTCATACAGCCCCCTGGTTTTAAATACCCTCCATGTGCTGCCCACCTGGTGTGGCTCAGTGGTTGAACCATGAGATCAGGTTTCGATTCCACCCCCCCACCTTGCAGGCTCTATCCCCAGTAGGAGACATGCAGGAGGCAGCTGATCAATGATTCTCTCTCATTACTGATGCTTCTATCTCTCTCTCCCTCTTCCTTCCTCTTTGAAATCAATTTTTAAAAAAAGTATAAGTACCGTCCATGTGCTCATGATGTCCACACTTATGTGTCTCCCCACTTTGTCTTCTTCCTAGCACTCAGTTCTGTGACATCCATCTTCCTTTTGATGCTGATTATTCATGGCCACCCCTAGGGTGTCAGCACCATGGTAGCAGCAGCGCCCTTGCCTGTCTCACAGCCCCAGCACATGGCTCTGTGGCTAGCACCTCCTAAGTACTTGTAAATACTAACTCAGTGGGTGGGTGGCGGATACCTGATACTGCAGGAAAGTCACGGTGCCCTCAGTCAGCAGCAGCTGGTAGGCCTCCTGGATAGACAAGGGCAGGTCTTCATGGAAGAGTTGGATGGAGCCCTGGAAGTGGGGCCAACAGCTCAACTTGTAAGCCCTCCCTGCAGTGGCACAGCCAATGGAGCAACTCCCTCACTCTAATATCTGTGCAGCTCCCTCCCCCGCCCCCCACCTCGCCCAGCATCACAGGGAGAACACTGTCAACCAGGAAGTGGGGAGCAGCAGCAACACTAACATGCACGGAATCCCTGCTTCCTGCACGGTCTTCTGCTCTAGAAGGCAGGTTACAAGCTCCCTGAATCCTCAGTCGTGTGTACTTTTTCTCCAAAAAGCAAAACACATGCCCTTCTGGTTCCTCGGTCCCAACCCCCTTCCCCGCCGTCCTGGGGCCCCACTCACACACTCCAGCAAGTACAGCGCCTCCTCGGGGTGCAGCCGCTGCCGGCCCTGCTCCGAGAAGCCCATGGTCTGCCAGAATTTGCCCTGTGCGGGACCCACAGCGCATGTCACCACGGGGAGGGCAGGAGAGGGGAGGGGAGGGGAAGGGAGGCAGTTCCCCGCCCCTGAACACCGCCGCTCACCGCAGGCGTCTTCAACTCCACGAACCCCTCTTCCGGTCTCCATTCGGCGGCCACCAAACTGCCCCTGGCAAAGGGTGGGTCTCAGTCTACCGGGGAGTCCACCCGGCCCGTCCGGCCCCC